TTCGAACTAATATTTTTGAAAAAAATGTCACATTCATTACCCAAAATGAAACTTTTTTATCTTCCTTAATCTGCAACAAAATTTTTATTTCTTTTAATTTCTCATATGAACAAATGATTTTGAATACTAAATACATTCGTGTATAAAATTAAGAGAATTTAATTCTTTGACACTTCGGTGAGTATATTGGCACTCAGCAGGGAAGAAGGTCCTGCTCTTGCCAATTCATGATTGACTCTCGAACTGGGACTGACTCGTATTGAAATCCGAAGATAGATTTCTCCAGTTGAGACAAATATCATCGGAGAAAAATACAGATGCGCTTTGAATGTGCGTTGAACACGTGGGTGTGCACTCTGACCTCTTAATGAAATTTTTTATCGCAGTTCTTACTGTGTATCAATTTCTATTTGCTATTTCGCAAATTTCTTTTAGTGATTTAATTTGATTATATAAATGATTGATTATTTTCTCTCTTCAGTCGCAGTTTCCACACTATTACTATCCACTTCAAATTTTCGAAGGAGAAACAGTCGAACTTTCAGTGCTACTTCAGGTAATATGGATACGGGTTATGAAGTTTGCTCATGTCATCTCAAGAAGAGCCTTAAGCTAACTAAGAAAAAATAAGCCACTGTAGGCACATAACATTGGTGAGCTAGCAGGTGAAACTCCAAGACAGTGGGGTAAAATTGGGGAGATCATTTCCTCCTGTACTGAGTCTAATAGAAAGCGACGAAAGACAAAAGTCACACCTCGCAAGAAAGCAAGTAAACTTTGGCACTCAAAGCTAGGTTACGAAGTTGAGATCTCTAAGCATGTGAGTAGCAAATGGTCTGACCAAGTTATCTTCTGGAACCTAAGAACGTCTGAAAAATTTGTTGCACCACAGCTAAGTTAAGTTTTTAAGGCGCGCTTTTCAATTTAGTAGTGAGGTCCACTATAAGGTCGATTTTCAAGTCGTCGTGGACCAATTTGTTTCCAATCAGTTAATGAAAATTTAAAAGGCGCGGGACAGGAACCCTGGGGCATTCCTGCAGTGATGTTTTAATTCAAGTAAATAAACCTATTATCTGTCTTATATCACAGTGATTGGTATGCACAGAATGACGCAATGTAACTTAATTTACATAAAACTCAACGCTATATTCTTTCAATTTTGTACTCTATTTTCATGGGTTGAAAAGTTCGGTACTTTTCCATTTTGCCGGCGCAAACAATAAAGTCCCCTGTAATGATACAACTGATGCCAAAGAGAATATCTTCGCTGTTAACCGTTTACGCTTAATTTTCAAAACAAGTGCAGCCTTTTCTTATTTCCAGATTCATTGTTTTTATATGATCACAAGTCTCAGTAAGCAGATTTTGTTTTCGTAAAGAAGGATATAAATTAACTGCTATTCTCCTTTTCCACTCCTTTGCAATTCAGAAAATAAAACCAAATTATGAACATTTTGGGGCCGGGGAGTGTTTTCAAACTTACAACTAACAGTACAGCATTTTCAGAAGTTAAATACGGCTGCTGCAATTGTACAGCGCATAACTAAACCATGGAATGGAGTACAGCAAAGTGGTGCTACAAAGACCACCGTTCACCCGCAGGACACTAATTTATATTCACATTAAAGAGAATTTGGTACTTACGTAATAACGTCACCGCAGCTGCAGCGGTTTTTAAGTGCCGCCAATGTACACCTAAAATTTTTGCGACAAATCATAAATTAAAACACGTTATTCAAAATCAAAACACTTTCAAAAAACAAAACACTTTATTTAAAATCAAAGTAGTCAATTGGCTTTCGGTGGAAAATGGACCGAAATAGAGTTTAATATAGATTCAAAACAGTCTCTATTTTCTTTGACTTGATTCTGTCGCCATATGAACTCTGCTAAATAAGATTCTAAATGATGTCTCGCTGTCCCCTTATGTCTCTTGTTCCTTCATTTAGCACTGCCCCACATTCTCTTAAATGTTTGTATATGAACTCCTGTATCACGATCAATAAAATTGTATTTATGATTAACTTTAGCATGTAGGAATCCTTCTTTTTTCTACTCCATTTGCTTGGTAACCTTTCCAACTGTCAGAATAAATTGTGCTACCATCTGCAATGTTTTCAGTAATTTTAATAAGAAGGGTAAATCCAGTTCTATTAGTAACAGTGACAACAAACTAATCTTTTATTTCTCTACATATACCACCAAACACTCACTATTCGAGTAATCCTCGACCACAATTATTTTTACGCTTAGTAAACAAACTTTCATCAATTTCCACAATGCAATCTAGTCCACCTACCTTCTTTGGTTTATTCTTCATATCCAAGGCACGTAATTCACGCATGTAATTGTTCCAATCTATAACAGTTTTATTCGATAACTGAAGTTGCTTTTCACAAAATTTAATCGACATTAACTCTTCGAACCAGCAGTATATGAATCTCAAAGCTGCACAGAATGTAATTCTACTTTCTTCAAACCAGCTGTCTTAAGTACGACTTGCGGATCACACTGTGTCAAATTACATTTACAAAACGTACGTTTGCCAAACTAAAGTTTCATATCATGCGAATTGGTACATTTTCGTTTTTTTTTTTTTTTTTTTGGGGGGGGGGGGAAAATAATTCGCTGCTGAAAAAATAAAATTGCTTTTTTTCTGTGTTTGGCAAATCCCAAAGACGCACTTTTGTAGCACTAAAAAATGACGTCAAAAATCAGCAAACAACAAGGTAAAAAGGAATCCAAAAGATCACTGCGTGCGAAAAAAAGGAGTGCTCTTTATTGGCGCATCAGCGCAACTTCTGCTGCGGTAGCGTTACTACATAAGTGCGGTGGCGTTAGTACGTAAATACCGATAATTTTTGTTGCGTCTTGTTCACAAAGATGACAACTACTTTATGGCTAATTTAAATGCTATTAGGTAATGTTTAGCTCCGGAATGTTTGGTATAAATCGTAATGAATTTGTTGGTTACAATCGTAAGACTGAACTAATATTTATTTAAATTTTTCTATATTATACACATATATTAATTACATATATCATTAGAATGTCTGTCTTTATTATTGGATAATGTTTGACGAAATCTCAACAAACTTTCGACAAACAAAGTCGATGGGAAAATACGCAAGTGCAATTTAATGTTAACAATGGGACAGATGAGAGGAGTTCTTTGATGCTCAGCATTCTGACGATCGAAGAAAACATCCATTTGTGATTGAGAACTTACAACTGAAGCATTGCCTTAATTTTTGACAGTTATTGTTATGAGGTTCTTGTTCAAACGGCATCCACTTGATAGTTGCTCTATTTCTGTATCAAAATTCATGTTTCGCTTACATGTAGAAATACACTCCAAAAAACACTTGGTTTGAGCAAGCAATTTAGTGCTTATTGAGCATTAAATTAAGCTTGAGCAAGCTTGTTTTAATGCTTATTAAATCAAAATATCGTCCATCGCTGAAAAGCACTGAAGATGCTGTAATATATCCAGCAATGTGAAATATTGCGCGAAGAGTTAATTTATTATCAAGCTCCTCTCATTTAAAATGGGATTTTTCTTTCATCAGCTCCTTTATGCTTTTAAGAAAAACCTTTTTCATCCGTATATTGCTTACCAAAGAAATATGATATTTATAAAAGAATATCTATTTTTGCATTTTTATTTTATATTTTAATAAATATAAAATAAAAATGCGAGTCGAAATCAAATCTCGATGTTAAAAAGGAGTAATAATGAAAAAAAAAAAAAAAAAATAAGAAGCGTTGCAGTAGACAACGGAAAAATATATTATTCGTTCTCCACTGTATATGCGACTCACTAATCCATAAAAATACTGTAGAGATGCAATTATTTCCATACCTTCGGAACAATGATTGCTCAGCTTATTGTGGATTGTACAGATTTTTGATTTACCCAGTTCAGCTTCTTGTATTAAAACTGCATCTGTATAGCTACGAAAACATACATACATGCCTTAAAACTTATTTAATCAAGTTATACAGAACGAAAAATTATCATATGTTTTAATCAGAAGAGGGAAATGTTTAAATGATAGGGATATATTTTGGAGAAAGAAAGTAAGTTGTAGAATAATTAGTTGGAAAAACAAAGTAAGTTGTAGAAAAATTAGGTTTTTTTTTGAAGCAGGAGACGTGAAAAATGTGCAGTGTCCTCGCCAGAACTCGAATCCTGGACATCTCGAGTACACTTCGAGTATGCTGCCAATTACGTCACGAAGGCCTACGGAAAGGAGGGCGAAACTATCTTACATACTCCTCCTTTTAAAGGGCAAATGAGGATTCGGGGACCCAGTCACCAAATCCTGCGGTAACGAATAATTCTTCACCACGTGTTTTAGTTTGGCCGCCATTTTTAAAAACATTAAGTTTTTTCTTAAGCAGGAGAGGTAACAAATGTGCAATGCCCTTTCCGGGACTCGAACTCTAGACCTCTCGAATACGTGACGAGTATGCTTCCAATTATACCACGAAGGTATGCGAAAAGGAGAAAGAAAATACCTCATAAAGTAACTGAAAGAAATAAATCTTGAAAGAATCTTGTAAAAAGTCATCAAAATGTTACATATAAAATAACTAGTATATCCTTCCTCGATTTATTTTCTAATTTATGCTCGATGAGAATGCAAAAAGGGGGAACGTTATTACATTGTTTTACTCTTTTCAGCAATTACTGGTTTTAACAGTGTAGTGATGTTTTCGCTAAAAACAATGTTTGTGTTCCATCCGCGCATGTGAAATTGAATTAATTGCATTTTTTTATTCTGTATATTATTCCTAAAATGAGTTAAACATTCATCAGATTAAAATCCACATATTATTATTATTACTTACTTTTTTTGTACTAAGCATGTATTGCCGTATACAAATTAATCTATTAATAAAATGCATAAAAAAGGGAAATAAAAAAATAGAGATAAACAAATATTACATAAGAAGTACAAAAAACATGAATTAAAACATTTAAAATATAAAAATACCTTAAATAAAGTAGAGAAATGAAGACAATGCCATCGAAAATTAAACAGCATGGTTTCTACGTGCTCACAAGCAAAAATGAATAATCGCTTCCATTAGTAAGCAATACGTGAGTTAAATCGATATCTCATGCTGTTAGAGGTGATAAAGAAAATGTTCTGGAAGTATAAATGTCCTTTTTTTTTGGTAACTGAAAGAAATCGATGCAGTTTGGTAGTTCCCTGAGGGTGTATTACGATTTTTCTTCGTGTAAATAAATCTTTCTTTTTTCTTTCATCTTCTCTATGCTTTCAGAATATCAACATTTCCCAGAATTATCTCGGTATATTTATTTGCTATTCTTTCAGGGCACGATAATACTTCGAGTTTCAGTGGTACGCTTACATAAAGAAACTAGAAAGATTTTTGTGTGTGTGTGTGTGTGTGTGTGTGCTGAAAAGTAAAAAAAGTTTACGAAAGCTGGGCAACAGTTTTCATTTCAGTATTGCTTAGTATAATCTTTATCTTCTTTAACAGCTGCAAAGAAAATGCATTTTTGTAATTTTTGTAAATATATTTTATTACTTAAAATTCTGTTCTTTCTTTTCTAGTGGTTCCATTACATATAAAGTAAAAGATTATGACAATTTACAAATGCAAGAGACATAACACATTTAGTAAGCTTAGGTTGACTGATTAAGACAAAGCCATTTGCTTCTGAATAAAGTATTTAAAATATCATGCGGAGGATTATCTAAGAGAAATTGTCTCGCATTTATATTATGCATAGGGAAAAACCTTGAGACCTATCGCATAACCAGCTCTTCTTCCGGGATTTGTGTGGAAGTAGCAGTGTTCTAAAATTACCGCTTAGCAGCTGACGAGCTCTCATGCACGATTTGATAAAATTTGATAAATGGCATTTATTTTAAAGATTAGTGTTTAGTTTTTTTCTTCTCAGATGTTTCCCGATTCCGATGATAAATTGTAGTGTGCTTGCGTAAAACTTGCGTTAATTTCTTCGACCCCTTGTTAACAAAGTAGCTTTATAACCTTAAACTACATCTTTTCCAGGTTTTAACACTTCTTCCAGGTGTTTACAAGAAATACCTGCTAGAATTGATTTTTTATAGCATTTGTACTGCAGTGCCCCAATATGTTTTTGCCTCAAATGCATATTTAAAGGCAAGACATTTAAATATCTCTCATATCTAATAACTTTTTCAATAGTCTTGCTTAATATTATTCTTCGTAATAGGTTTTGCATAGTATTTAGACACAAAAAGCAAAGAAAAATATTTAATTCCGGAATAACAGCTGAATTTTTATTACTAAATGTTTGAAAGTTTTTTATGCCTCAATACTCTTTTGAGTCACCGTATTTGTTTTTAAGTGAGAAATGGCGATCACAATTTATTGAATTTCTGTATTAAATGCTTACAGTAATTTTTTATCAAAAGTTTTTATAAATTTATTGCAATTAATTTACAGTATTATGTTTAATAAACTGTAGCTTTGATTTTGCTGTAGCCCGTGGTATTTTTTTTATGTAAATGCTTTTGATAAAAAAGTTGGTAAGCATAAATTTCAGTTTTTTATTTTGTGTTTTCGTATAACTTTTAATATTGTCTTAAGAAAATATTTATGCAAAACTTATCCACATAAATAACTGCTACGTATGAGTGCTTGTTTCCAATAATTTTACTTCAAAACACCTTTTGTAAGTAAAAATAAAAAGTTTGTTAAAATAATACTATTGCGCATTTTGCCCTTTGACCATGTACGAAGCTTCTTTAATTGTACGGACAGGGTGAGAGATACAACTCCTGTTTTTTTATTAAAAAAATCTATTACACTCATATAATCCAATGGTCCTAAGAGCTGCATCCTGTAAATACATATTCCATAAATTAATTCGCATTATTATAACATTAATTATTACGAGAAGAATCTAAAGAATGTTTTAAGATTTTAATGGTTTGGAGACCAATTTTACATTATTTTTACTGCCAGTAAAAAGGAAAGGGAATAACACCCAAAATGGAGCTAATTAATTTACACTATGATATAAATCTGATTTAATGCTCTAAAAATATAGATTTCGTTAACTTTTTTTCAGACTTGTCAAACATCAATTTCCTCAAGTATGAATTTTCGCAATAATATTAATCGCATTGTTTGGGAGTATGTTATATATGAAAAAAATTTTAGCAGCTAATAAGTCTAAAAAGGGAACCATATTGAGAGATGAGCATCTATATATCGTGATGAAGATAATTTCTAATAATTTTCTCCAACACTCCAATCTGTATTAAAATCGAAATATCGTGAACTGTTGTATCAGATGTTTTCTGTGTACGTCAAAAAAAATTGAATAAATGAAGGAAAATATTTTTTAATTATTTATTTTCAAGTTATCCTTTACTCAGGGCATTTTTTATTTTTAGTTATTTTTAGTTTGTTTATTTTTAGTTAATTTAGTGCTTATTAATTTTGTTTTACAAATGACCCCAAATGTGCTCAATAGGATTCAAGTCTATATTAAACACAACCGTTTTGAGCACATGGAGATAGGTGTACAGTTTACAAATATGATGATTATTGCTCTGAATCATCGTTTTTAAAACGTTTTAGTGCAACAATATGCCCATTTTTTGTACTTCAAATTTTGTTTTTAAATACTCAGATACATAAAATTTTCAGTTTTACCATCAATAAAATATAGAATGTAAATGGTGCAAGCACTCACATAGCGTACGACCCTATGGCTACCTTCACCGCGTGTAAGTGAATAAGTTTCGTGTAATTAAAAATAACTTATTTAGTGATTTATTCAACTTATAAAAATAATTTGAAATAAATGTCTGTCTGAAAATTTAACAGCTATCAATATCTTTGAATTACGAAGTGACAATTTCCTGCAGATATCAACCTTTAGATTTCAGGAAGAAAATAAATATGGATGGGAAATTTTTTTTCTTACCCATTATTATTTTGTTTGGTTAAAACTCATTTATAATTAGAGTCTCAGTTATCCAACAGAAACGGGCAGACAGAACGTCAAATAAGCGAGAATGTCAGATAATGTATAAGTATCAAGAAAAAGGCTAAATAAAAAAAATGAACAAAATAAATTTGTTCAAAACATGTACAGTACTTGAAAAACGTAGTCCTGTGATGATCGAAAAAAAAAATTGATCGTAGTGTGCTTCCTTAATAATGAATTGCCTTAACGTGTTCTTCGCTGCTAAATATCGCCATCTTTGCTGTATCATTATGTCCATTAGAGCCTAACTCCGTCGTTATGTGAAATTCTGGGAGGCTCAATAGCTTATGCTTTATCTTGATCTTCATTTTCGTTTTCATCGCAACTGACAACTATAATTTTTTATCAGTTAATTCAAATAAATTTTTAGCCTTCATCCAAATTTCGATTTCTTGTAAAGATGCAGTTTACATTGAGGAATACATTGCACAAAGGTGGAATGGTTTCTTCAATTTCATCGGTCCACTTTTATACTTTCATCATTGCTTAGCAGTTTCTTCAATGATTTCAATGAAATTATTGTAGCCTTTAAGTCAGTCCAGGCCTGTGCAATCCAACAATGTTTCAGTCATGCCTTTCTTCAGTTTCTTCTTTGACTGCGTACAGTGGCTTCCTGAGATAAGTTCCTTTTATCATTTTCAAATCCCCGATTCATAGGTTGGCATATTGTGCGTATACTGGGAGGGAGGCAGAAACATTGCTTTAATGTCACCATCTCGAAGCTCTTCTGTATCAGGGTGTATTGAAACATTATTTAGCCACAAAGCAACGCTTCTGTGCAAATGTTTTTTTTTTTTTTTTCAAAAACTTTAATAAAGGAATGAATTTTTTAATAAGCCATTCTTTGAAAACTTCATTACAATTTTCTGACTGCAGCATTTTTCAGGAAGAGAATTTTAAAGCCTGTCCAATTTTGGGATTTTTAATCCCTTACAGGGCCCATTTGGTAGTTTGCTATAGTATTATTGCATGCTAAAATTGTCAGGGATTTCCTTACTACGCTTTAGCCAAGGGTTTCAGCTTCAATTCTGTTTGCAAAAACACTAACTAAGCAACATTTTCTAATTAAGACCTGACTAACCACAGTTAAATAACCTACCATGTGTTAGACTTTCATTTTAAATTAATTCAAGAAATATTTTCTTGAATGCTTCGTAAAATTTTTCTTAAAATTTCGATGATAATTTTTGACTACAAAGCATTATAGCGTTTTTCCATCGGTCTAGCTAACGGACCCTTCATGTGATCTATATGTTCTTTTCATTGAAAGCATTACGAAAATGCAATGCCTTTTGCTGTAAAATGAACTCTGAACTGTGCAAAGCAAACATACAAAGCTTCAGTCAATTTTTCATGGATTTTCTAGCTTTTAATGCACGCTTTATAACTCTTGAATTTGCATAGTTTTTCTATTTCTATTCGTTTCCTTTTCTACTCTCCTATTTTAATTTTCTACATTCAGTGCCAAAGTCCGCAGTTAACTTCTGCATCATATCTCCCTTGTGTAGTCTCTTGACTGGCTGAAGCTTTTGCTCCATCGATATAAGTTTCTTCCTTTACGTAGCCATTTCTTTTGTGCTTGTGTAAATTTAAAAACTCCACAACGATATTTATCAAATTAGAAATATCACCCACATACATGCATGAACAGTAACAGACGATCAACTATTCCGCATACAATGATAAACTGCGCTCCACTGAACAGTAGATAGATGAGTGATTAGCTATAGCTGGGTACGCCACGCGGTAGAGTCGGGAGCAACAGAACAAAAAACTGTGTTCACAACTCTCATTTCTTGTTCCCCACTGATGCTTTTTTTTCGATGATAAGTTGGATAAGCGAGATTCTAATGTATTGTTTTAAATACAAATTCGTCCCTCAGCTGCTTTCAGAATGTACATTCGGCTTTTTACGGATGAGAAACAATGATTCATAATTGGAAAGTATTATTTAAAATTTTGAAAAGCATTATTTAAAATTTTGTTACGATGGAGCAGTAATGACCAGATATGAATCATGAGAAGCAGCTGATATTCGTTTCCAACCTTGTCTAGGCCTCCTTATCACAGGAGGCCTAGATATTACAGTTCCATGCCTATAATTACAGAATTTAATAATGTTTTACTGATATTTCCACCTGTCTGGGTTATACCCAAAAAGGACGGGCTGAATGATGTATATTTGT